AATTTGACCCTGACCTACATAAAGTGTCGTAAACAAAGTGCTCGTATACGGTACTATCTGAAACTTGTCAAAAGTTTCTTCTCTTTTCTTTTCTCCAGTTTCCCTTTTTTCTCTCTCTCGCCCTCACCCACAGATTTGAATACATAGCAAACATATAATGATAGGCTACTAAAATGATAAATGCCACTAATGGAGTTCATCACGTCTATTTATACCCTTTCAGTACCATGAAGTTCTAATGTCATAGCCTGTTGATGAGGTGGGCCTCGCGTGCCTTTCTGACAGAGTCACGGTTGCTACGGATTAGTTCTGCAAAAAATGTAGCAAAAAGTTCATAGGGGAGACCAAGCGCCATCTCCACAAACGCTTTGTGGAGCGTCGCCACTCCATTCTCAACTATGGCCACTTTCCTAATCCTACTCCTGTCTCCGAACATTTTAATCCTGAGTTAAGCCGATCGCTCTATCAACGACGTCCTTCTAATTTCGTTAGAACTAACCTGTAGCTCATCACTCTTCCTGCCGTAAGGATCAGTTTTACTGTTTTAATTTTAAAATTTGGTACCCAGGATTTGACTGATCCAGGTCTGCTAAAGATCCGGCTGACTCTCACTGGTTTGTCGTTGTGGTTTTGCCTTCACGAGTGTTTCAGGTAGAAGTGGTGCCTCCGATTCCTTCAAACCCTGATTAAGACAAAAAATGTTACGTTCCCTTCGCTAGATAAGATAACATAGCTCATTTGATAATTCGTTTTGTCCATCTTACAGAATAAAGTAATTTTTCAAACTAACATCATGGAATTAGATTTTTCTCGAAAAAATAATAATAATAATAATAATAATAATGTTGGTAAGACGCATGTAGAGAGTCTGTAGACCATTCATTGCTAATTTTCATGGCCCTCCAAAAGCTTCCAGTCCGGAGATGCCCATTTCAAGACGCTCAAATTGAAGACCGGAGACCGGAGACCCTGAAGACCCTACCCTGTCCAATGGCAATACCCGCAAGTCAAATAAGGGAGTGCCCGCCCCAGCTCTCCCTCTCTTTAATTTCGAATGTATTTGATGGATGGGTGAAAGCATACGTTTCTATAAACTGCCAATTAACTACAGCAGGTAAGAAAATATTTTGAAAACCACCCAGAAATAATTACTGTGAGACAAATAATAAAATAATAAACTATACTTATTCGCATCGTGCTTGATGTTTCCCTAAAACAAAGGATTTTTTAGCTCCATTTTTTTACAATAATGGGAGTCTTAGGATCAATTACAATTATAGACCATTATAAGCTTATATTACCTTCGCCATTTTAGTATATATAACTGAAAGTGCTGTGAGTCAGTGGAAAATTAATTTTTTAGGAAGGGGCACTATGCTTATGCAAACTCGAAAAACGATAATCGCAGTCGAATCACTAACTTAAGTCGAAATTTTAATTGTTACATATTTTATTCATTTTTGCATCCATTCATTTATTCATTTAGTTAAGAAGTACGTTTTTTTATCTCGCTTTTTGTATTCCTCTTTTTCCTATGACTGGATACATTTTTTCATTATCTTACTAGGTGTTCTGACACCACTACAAGGACTGAATCTTCGTATAAATGAAACGTTTAATCAATCAATTTATTTAGAAATATATTTTAACAGAAATATAAAACATTATTATGGCGTTTCCCCGACAGTGAAAAGAAAACCAGAACCAAAATTAAAAAAAACTTAGGGACACATTTGTTCTTTATCATCAGCAGCGGAAAAAAAAGCAGCAACAACACCAACAAACAAATTTGAGACGTACGTTGAATTTAGAGGAGTTGCTGATTCGTGCTATTAGTTATGACCAGTTTCGTTCATCTATACAAAAGTACAGCAGGAAAAACAACTAACAAAAGTTTCTTCAAGGCTACAAAAATCACTGCGTCTGCCTGGGCCTTGATTGGTGGATCAGCAAGCAATCGGTTAAACCACCTAGTTGAACTAAAATCCTAGGACATCGGTGACTTGGAAACATGGGAACCGCCGTTGTACTGTGTAACAAAAGAAAGCTTCTAAGGCGTTTGGCGTCTTGGACGAGTCTTCTTTGCTGACCTCCACGCATGACGACACTGTGGGTTGTCATCTTCCTCCACTATAACATCCTGCAAAGGAAGTGAAAAATGCAGCATTTCGGGATGTGAGATTTGCTTCTTTTATGCTGGTTTGGTTTTCCTACCCCTTGCCGGGAGTTCGGCATAATTTTTTCCCGAATTTGTGGACATGCGATGCAGCATGACGCACTCCTCACCACCTGGCATGTGAAACATTAACAAAAGCACTTATGCCTGTCAACGCTTCCCTACATCTACATCTACCTCAATACATGAAAATTAAAATGAGTTCAATAAGAAGTTTCGCCATCTAATCAGTTTTACGCGTATATGTTATTTGACGGTCGATTATGTCGTGTATCATTGACTTTGTATACCTTAAATATGAGTGCAAGGGGACAACATTAAGATATATGACATTACATGTACAGTTGCTGTTCGTTAGTTTCGTTCAAAGTTAAATTTCAGAACATTGCATGATTGTGATATTAATGAAGCTATTGACTTTTATGATTTTATCACGTAAATGTTTTATTGTCGTCGTAAAAGTTTTGAATATACCTTAAATCGCCAAAGTTCAAGTTTAGTTCGTGAAATAGCGGAAATTAAGTAATTTTTAAATTATGTTCCAAAATTTACGAAAAATTGCCAATAAAATTAAAGTGTCACTAAATGAGGATTTTTCAAAATCGCTGAATTAACGTGTCACCAAAATTTCATGTAATAAGGTATAGCATAAGGCAGGTTAGCCTGCGAGCCAGCTCTTACACAAGGGCTAGTATACAAAGCTGGTCAAGAGATGGTACGGAGTTTCTGCGGCATGTTACTAAGTGCATCATTCTTCGACTGAGAACATTTAACATGTCTTTAATCACGAACATACCCTGAATTTCTTTGGGGCCACCATTCTGTCTCCCCTCTGTCGCTTCCATCTCCTCCTAAACCTGAGTGGCCATAAATTACACTCCCTTGCCTCTGCACAAATAATGCTGCTACAAATAATCCACAAAAGCATGAGAGTAAAAAGATGTCTGGAATTCATCGTTGCGTTTCTGCTGGTGCTCAATAAAAACGATAGAAGTTATTCCTCGGCTAGAACAACATTATTGACAGGATGCTCTTCCTACGAGACTGCAGTTATGTTAGTAGGCGACCCACGTAAGGTTTATGTTATGTTCATTAATAACAAACAAGCGGTTTTATTTGAACATCTCTGCTCTCAGCGCGTCACGCGGAATTTACAGGGTATCATTTTTAAATAGCTTTACAAAAACACTTGGCATAAGAATTTAATTTGACCCAGACGTGACGACTGAGCCAGTTAAAAGATTTGCGTCATAATCTTGCCAATCAGTGCGAGACCAGATGCACCTGTGGTAAACAAACGTTACTTGCTCAAGGCGACCGGTCGGATGCAGTGCTGAGTGGGTTGGGTAGAGAATACCGTGTGGGGAAGAACATGAGGAGTGCGGAATAAACTGTTTCCTGCAAATTCGTCGTCTGTCCTTGCCCTTCGCCGCTTGGGACGTTTCGCGGCGAGGTGCGATGAGTGACGGCTGTATTCTCAGGCTCTTAATAGAAAATGTGGAGTGTTGAAAAGTGAGAAGTGCGGTATGGAAAATGAGGACTGCGGTAGTCGGAAAATGGGGATTCGCAATTATGGTAAATGAGGATTGCGGCTAAGCAAATGCAGAGTGTGGAAAATGAGGAATGTGGAAGAAAATGCAGAGTGTGGAAAAAGTAAGACTGAGGTAGAAAATGCAAAGTGCGGAAAATGAAGAATGTGGTATAAAATGAGGAGTTTGGGAGAAAATTGTCGATCAGAGTGTTGAAAATTCAGAGTGCGATAGAAAATAGAAACTAAGAGTGTGGAAAATGAGGAGTGTGGTAAATGAGAAATGCGGTAGAAAATGCAGGGTGAAAAACGCGGAAATTGCGAAGAGTGGAAAACGAGGAATAGCGCTTCCTGTTTTAAGCGTTCTACAAGCTTTAATTCATTATTAGTATTTCTCGCTTTCCACCACACTTCGCATTTTTTACCACTTCGCTTTTTTCACCGATCCAAAGTTTCGTCACTCCTCATTTTCTGCACTCTGTATTTCACCTTGTCCACCTGACCCAATGCAATTCGAAAATCACTTGGATGACGCAATTAAGACTCTTTTAAAATCGTTAGTTTTAAAATAAAGCCTTCGGACCCGCTTTTAATGCTGTAATATAATCTAAAACCGGATAGACCCTCCACAGAGATTGTTCTTTGGCCAGAAGACTGCGTCAAAGACGGTTCACACAACGTCCAGCTACTCGCAGCGCAGGCTACAGACACGGAACAGAAATTTACTCCACCATGGGATCGTGGTGCATGATACATGAATTTATATTGCGGCGTAGGCTTCATCATGGTACCAACTTCATTGTGCCGTTGTTAGATATTGCCTATCAATTGTCCGGGCAATCAGCTATTCAATGGCGAAATCGGCAATGCAAGATGTCACTCATAAGCGTATCATTAATAGGCGCGGGTGGGCTTTACGATTAATTACAAGAAAATTAGAGAGGGGAGCTTCCGGACATTCCCTTCCCCAAGTCGCAGGAAGCAAAACATAGTCCGTTCTGAGGGTTAAGACTGAGTTTAACGGCTGAACCTGAAAAGCATTATCAAGACCAATCGGCCATTCAAAATCAATCCTATAATCTAAAGGAGCTTTTGTCACGTAACGGGCTAAAAGATTCTCAAAGAAACACAACTGCTAAGTCAACAAAACAGAAATCGATCCGGTGATGCGCAAGTAAACTGTGGCGTCATTAGGTAGCGAGGATAAAAATTTGTATTCCTTGTGACTCTTACTAAAATTGCCTGTCAGGGGAGGCTCCTAATCTCGAAGGAGTACAAAGTTTCAGGCAGATATGAAAGGGTAGGGATTTCGATAGTTGAAGTATATGAAAGGGTACCGAATTCTGTCATTTCGGTCTGTAAAAAGGCCCAAAAGGGCTTCAGATGCATTTCAGTCAGCTACGCAAGGGCTACATTTTCTATGTCAAAAATGGTTTATAAAAGGCCAGGGTAGGAAGTTTGAACGCGTGGCGGAGCCTTCCCGGTACAAAAACCTTGTTTACTGCCCACGGGATCTTACGTTGGCGGCTGGTCATCAATTTCCGTTTATTTGTCCTACACAGATTTGACCAAATTTGACCCTGTAGCTTTATTTAATAGTGTTAACATAACAGATAAAGTCCTTATCATCGTAATGTTAATACTACACCAAAACAAAGCTATTGACGTTAATGCGATCATATATTTCACGATCGGAAGCTCGTTTTATGGGCTAAATCACGGTATCGTGGAACATAACCCTTTTGCAAAACAGGAAACGTACTGGTTAATATTATTCCTACGCAAAAAACGCACACATAATGTTTTCATAGCACGGACCAGAATAAACACGATTGGCTGCGTATTTTTCCCCAGTTTATAAGAGATTGCAAATCGGAATTAAATTTTCAGCTGTTTCTATAAATTCTCGACCATTTAGGATGAATAATCGGATATCTCCATTGAAAAGCCCAGTAGAGCATCGATGAAAGTGATTTTGCCAGTGAGTTTTTGAGAATATTGTTACAAATGATGGACAAATAATTTGACTCAATAATGAAAGATGGCTGATGATGAAAGATGAAAATTTCACATCCTCCCTGCCAAATTCAGGCCTTCCGTACTTCCATGAAATTATATGAGCTACAATTAGTTAGGCATTATGCCAGCCGATATACAGAGTATGGTCTTTGAGGGTCTCGATACTGAAACAGGGCATTAAAAAGGATTTTGCCACAGATGGCGCGACATAAATCACTTTTAGCCTAGTTGGCCGTGTGTTCCCGGTATCATTTCCTTCGGTTGGGCTACCACAAAAGCCCAGGTACACGAGAAACAAATCATCTGCTTAAATCTGAACTATCCTAAAGAGTGTTATCTGTTCACGCCATTAAATCCTTACTTTTGATTTTCCCGGCCTCAAACTAAACCTCGGACATAAAAGGGAGGCGAGGGGGGTGGGAACTTGGTGGTTGCGACTCCCAACTCCCCCCCCCCTCCCCCCAGGTTGTTCTGGGTGTCAAGGTAACCGGGCTGGCCTTGATCATTAATAACTTTGAAACGGATAAACAAAAATTAAAAGCTGATACATATTAATGAACAAAGGGCAAAGCGTACGCCAAGTAAATGATGTTAAATAATTGATTAAATATTGCTACTCTTACTGCTGCTGCCAAAAACAGGAACACTAATATTGATAATAACAATAACGTTATTGATAACGTTGTTGTTATTATCATTCTTCACTGGGACGATCATAGCCCACCTACTTATACTGCTTCAGCTACAAATAAAAGAAAAAAACAACAACGACAACAACAAAAATTGACTTCGTCCACTTGCGCAAACTACAGAAAATACAATAGTGTTATTTCGTGATGACTTTGTATGGTCACAGAAATCACCGTAGGCCTTCCTTGGTAGAACAGCAATGTATAGGACGCTGGACTTGCAGATATGGAAATCGTTGCAATGTATGTAAACGGTGGGGTGGCCTAAGCCAGTTCATTTTGGACGGGCCTTTAACCTCCACGCGTGAGTACACGCAGTGTCATCATCATCTTCCTCCACTGCTCGCTCATGCTAAAAAAATCAACCAGTCAGTCATTTAAGTAACAGTGATGATAATAATAATAATGGAAACTTTATTTGTGTTTTTAAAAGTACAATTGTAAATCTCGCTACGTATAGGCAATTTACAAATGCTGCTTGAGATTGGATTATTTTTAAAAAGAAAAACAAAAAAAACAAAAGCAAAAACAAAAACAAAACAAAAGCCAGAAAAAAAAAAATCAAAATAACAATAATAATAACAACAACTATTTTTTTATTGTTTCATTTTTTTTATTTTTTTGCCAACCTGGTGGGGTAGAGGAAAGTGAAATATGCGTGGGACATGACTATCCAGTGTGACCATATTATTGAGGCCACAAGACCTGACATTGTTGTTGTTGAGAAAGAGAGTAACAAGTCAATTATCATGGATGTTGCTTCGCCATGGGATCACAGAGTTTATGAAAAGGAGAGTGCAAAGATTGAGAAATGCCAAGATCTGAAGATAGAGATTAGAAAATTATGGGCTATGAGACGTGTGGAAGTGGTACCGGTAGTGGTTGGTGCACTCGGTGCAGTAATTAACCAAAAGATTGAATACATGGCCTGACAAGCTGGGGATTTCCATGAATACGGGTTTGCTGCAGAAAACAGCATTGTTGGAAGCAGCAAGGATCTTAAGGAAGGTATTGGAAAGTTGAAGGAGGAGAACTAACCTAAGGGACCATTGGCTATGGCTCGCTCCTTTGGTGTAATATTAATGTCGGTACAACATCCTCTAGAGCTTAAGCAATTTTATGATAACAACAACAAAAATAATGAGAAAAACGGCACTAAGTCTAATAATGAATGTCTAATAACATTGTTGAACGTATTTTAGCATTTAAACGGTAGATATAGGCATATTTCTATCCCCTAAAAATTTTTCATCTGTTCGGATTTCCTAGCTGAAAGTCTAATGATTCGAAAATTATAGGGATCAAAACTTACCTTTTCGAGAACTTCAGCCAGGATAGGAAAAAGGCTCCTGAAAATTCTAGGTGACCTTTTTAGGGCAATTATACCATTTTTTAGATGGTCGAAAATCCTAGGAGAGGCTGGCAATCAAGAAAGTTACAACAAATGTTCCAAAAACTCTAGATCTTAAATCGTCTTCCACACATAAATTTTCCGAGAATTGACGTTGAGAGCCCCTGATATTTGGAGCCCAGGATTTCCTTACCCCATCATATCGTCCTTGTGAGTTTCTCCCACCCCCATTCATCGCGTGGAAAGGAAACGTACGTAAAATCCCTGGTCTATCTTTTTGAAATAAGATATTCGTATCTCCAGTGAAGAACCATGCTTCAGGAGGATCATGTCGCCCTCAACTAGGAACATTTAGCAGTTCATACATACCCTGAATTTAGACTGTTTAAGTAGTTTATTCTTGGGGGAAGGCACTCGTTCTCTCCGTCGCGTTTGTCGCCATCTCCTTTCTCTGTATGGCCACAAGGTACTAACCCGTGCCTCTACACAAACAATAATGCTGCTACAAATAATCCACGTGAGCAAGAGAACAAAGAGGTGTCTGGAATTCATCGTTGTTGAGCGAGTTCCGCCGATGCTGAATAACGAAACTGAAAAAAACAACGAAAGTCGATCCACGACTAAGAGAGGTGACAGCGATTCTTATGAGTCTCCCGAAAAACGTGCTTCTGATCTTCGAGCAATATTATATATTAAAGACTTCCTATCAGATTACGCATGAAATACTAAAGCAAGCGGCGTGCCTTTGAACGTATAACTGATCTGTTTTCTAGCAGCTGCATGTCAAACATTAACAATCCATTACATTAAGCAGGATATAGTACTTGCGCTTACACAACCCACGTACATAGTGCCGCCTAAAGAAAACAGGCAAGCGCGCGAAATATGCACATCGGCGCTTTTGCTTCATAGACCTTCGAAATATTAGGACTTGTCCGGTGGGGGGAGGAATAATCCTATAGTGGTGGGGTTGTGCCGCCCAGTTTTCCAAAAAAAATTTCATTTTTCGCTACCCGTTTTCAGACCTTGCGGCCTCTAAAATATAAAATCCATACCCGTTTTCAGACTTGGCCACTAATAAATTATGTCAGCATAAGTTAGATTAGAACTCCAACAAAAAGATTTCTATGAATCCATTTCGAATTCGCATAATATTCTTTCCGGGTCCTTATGTTCATTTGGCGTTGAAACTAAAAATACTTTCCTACACTCCCGTATTGTAGTTCCCCCGAATACCAAACCAAGAAAATGAGCAAAATGAGTAAATTCTAAACCCGTTTTCAGAACCGAAACAACACAAAAACCAGGAGCCCATCACCCTCTCGACGAAAACCACACCCTTTGGAGCGGAACATACCTATATGGCTTATATAAGGGAGTTCCCGGGCCTCCGGGGAATTTGAATGGGGGAAAACGATTGTTCCAACCTGTAATTCAACTAAGAGTAATCAGTGCATGACGAGATTTGAATTAAAACTGGCTTAAGTTACTTGAAGCCGGGGGCTATGCCATGGTGAGTTCCACATTAATTTTTTTTTGGTTAAGGCTGATCTGATATTATTTCTAAAAATATTCTCAGTCATGTACCTTTTACCAAATTTAAAATTTTCATCTCTAAAACAAAAGATATCAACTGATGATATTGAAGGAAATACGAAGCATGATCGTTTTTTGGTCATTTTTCGACAAAACAGAGGTTTAACGTGAAAAACAACAATTTATAAATGGAAGTGCAAAAATCCAGGGGGAATCCCTATAATGGCCTATACGGGAAGGCTCTGCCCGGAAGGGTTACATTTTTCAGGCTTTAGGTATATTGAAGGGTTAGGGATTTCACTTGTTCAAGTACATTAAAGGAAGGGAAATATGTCATTTCGGTCGATAAAAATGCCCAAAAGGGCTAACATATGTATTTTATGGCCTTGAAAAAGTGAAGAAAACGTGATTCATTCGTATTTGAAAGACAGTGCGTTTACAGCAGTTAAAATGGATCGAGTCAAGTTCTAAACTAGTAGTTATATGAAAGGTATCATTTGTCTTTGGAAGGTATACGAATAGGGTACCCTTTCTGTCAAAAATGGTATAGAAACGACTAAGGGTCGAAGCCTTCCCGTATGAACTTTATTGAGTAACCCTCCTCCCCTCCCCTCCCTTTTCCCCCCCCCCCCCCCCCCCCCCCCCACACACCACCCCCCCCGCGAGAATAAAAAAACACGACAAAAAAAAAACAAAAAAAAAAAAAAAAAATATAATCAAAAAAAACAACAAACACAAAAAAAAAAAAAAAAAAATATTAAAAAACACAAAACAAACAAAAAAAAAAAAATAAAATCATAAATCAAAATAAACAAAAACATTCTAAT